TATCACCCTTATAATATTCGACCATTCGATCTCTTGGGAAGTGCTGGTTTCTTGGAAATGCATGGCCATTATGAACTTAGCCATTCCTGAAAGTGACTTCAAGAAGAATGTTTGAAGAACTTATCCTTCTGCCAATGTATGGATTTGCTTATTGCTAGTGAAGCCAGTGCCATATTACAGAAGAGTTTGCCTGATTGAGATAAAGAAATCTTTTCAAGAACTTTGCCTAACCAGGATAGAAGCTTGGAGACCTCAGCTTTTGTCCAAGAGCAGCAGGGAACCCCAGCAGACTTTTTTTTGGTGAGATGTTTTTTTTTTACACCTTCAGTCTTCGGATTTTTAGTGCTCAAAAATGTTAAATTCAACAGCAAAAATCGGGTGTAAAATTGGTGTAAAAATGGAACTATAATTTGTTTTCTTGACAGAGCAAAGCGATTTAAAACTTAAGAAATATACACCTTCAGTCTGCATGTTTTAAAGCTAAAATCTCTAAAATCCATAGCAATTTTCGTTCTAGAAAAGGTGTTTTTTTGGTGGGTACGACGAGCGTTTTGCTTTTTTCGACACACTCGAGTGACGTGTATTTTGTTTTTTATGACACATTTTCAGTCATTTTTACACCTACAGTCTGCGAGTTTTTAGTGCTAAAATCATTAAAATCCATGTTATCTGAACATACTATGTATATGTTATCGTGTATGCTACCAAATATGTATGCTAAGTATATCGCGTAAATGCTACTGATAATGCTATCATTTATATGCTATCGGGCTATGCTGTCAAAAAATGCTATCAGATACATTGTATAGCATGTTATCGAATATGTATGCAACCTATGCCACGTAATTGCTATCGATAATGCTGTAAGTTGCAAAAAAAGTGGGTTAGCTTTGACTACACATATGAGAAGGCAGATGTATGCTAGAGGCGAAGCCTCCTCACTTTGTGAATCGATTAATGCTATCTAATTTAGTTATCGGGTTATGTTAACATGTAAATGTTATCGAACATGATATCAAGTGTATTATCTAAGCGTTATTTGTCTATGTTATATGCAAGAAGGTTGATGTATAACCCTTATTTTTACTATAGAAAATCTGAAGTTACCTGCCCGAATAATTATTCAAAACAATCGAGTACGTTATATAAATACTATCGAAAAATGTTATCCAGTTATGCTAGAGGCGAAGCCTCCTCACTTCGTGAGTCCGAAATACTATCAAAATGTAATCACTTATGTCAACTAGTGTTCTTGCTAAGCTGGCGAGAATAAAACTGCAAAACATAAAACCTTTTTCCTTTCTAATTCAGAAAAAGAAAAGTAGTTAACTGGATACAAACTTTGTGGGTAAAATATATAAGTGAAATAAATATTTTTTATTTAAACAAAAGATCTGATTAATTAATATATAATAAAAAACACCGGAAACATGGTAGGTAAATGCCCAGGATGTGGATGGAGCCCTAAAACTGGAAAAACAAGAGATCTTAATAAGCATATGGATCTAATACGAAATAGACCATGTCAAGCTTTATTGCAACTATCTCGTAATACTCAGCCTATACCACAAGTAACTGTACTGGATTCCAATGCTGGAAAATCAGGTGAGTCTGTTAAACAATGGGGATCGAGATTAAGAAAAAGACTAAAAGAAGTGATTTATCAAGATTACCCTCAACCACAAAATTTATTTCAATGCAAACGTCTTTATGATCAATTATTGCAAGTTGATCCAGAGGCATATGTTAATGTCTCAGAAACACCTTTAATGGAAGAAGAAAAACGCGAAGAGCAAGAATTCTTTGATGAACCTGAAATTGAAGAAGCAAATTTTCAGCATGAGACATCTCCGATGGTACAGCCAGAAATCGATCCTGAAGCTGGTCCAGGCACTCGAACCCAAGATTATCGTGAAGCCAGACTTACTAACTCAGAAGAAATAGTAACTCAACAAACCATACCATCAGATAATATAGAATTGCAACCTGTTCAATAATTGCTCAATCGCAAAGATGGATTTCTAGATTTAGATATAGTAGTGCCTTGGCCAGACCCATTTCCCAATGACGAAGAACATCGCGTAATATGGCAAAATGGAATTCAGATTGCAAAGGATATGTTCAAGGTAGATGGAGCCGAATATGCTTTCTCAACTTGGTTTGCAGAAGCTAAAGAGATAGATTTGGTCAGTATAATATTAGGAGCAGAAAATGAAGATGAAGCTATACAGGAGGTATTTTTACAATGCTTATATCGGAATTATTCAGAAGAAGAAATCAATGAGACTATAAAATTAGCAGTAGATGCTTATAGAGCATTAGAAAATGAAGATGAAGCTATACAGGGGGTATTTTTACAATGCTTATATCGTAATTATTCAGAAAAAGAAATCAATGAAACTATAAAATTGGCAGTAGATAAAGGATATAAAAACTGGTTAAAAAAAGTGGAATATCAAATAGAATCAAGAAAATTCGAAGCTGGGATGACCGAAGAACGAGCACAAAAAATATTAGATACAATTGATAATCATGAGTATTTAATAAGAGTAAAATTCATTCGAGAGGATACAGTAATATCAGATAAGGGAACAAAAAAAGGCTTTAAAATTAATGATAAATATGAACCTATTTGTGAATCAAAAAAGGCAGGTGGAAAATACGTCAGGGGTGGACCAAACGTTATACTTACAAAGAAAACGAAACTAAGATTTTGGGTAGGAATAGATGAAAAATTTTTGGTTAGAGAAGTCAGTGAGCAATCTGAGGTAGGAGAGCTTGATAGTAATGCGGTTATATATGGACTGTATCGAATCCGAAAGCCGAATGTTAATCGATTAATGCCTATGAAAGATGGGGCACTTAACTGTGTAGCTGAACGAGTAATAGAGCATTTTGATCAAGCCAAAAAAGGACATAGACTCACAGAAATTCGTCGGCAAAAAATAAATAATTGGGAGGAAAAAATGCGCATTCCAGGTGCTCGAGTACAAGATGTAGCAGAGTTAGAAAAAATTCTTAAACGACCGATTAAATTACTTGATATAACTCATGGTACTATATTCAATAGTGGAAAGTATCGATCGGGTAAGTATGAAGAAATCGGAATAGTAGTTCATAATGGCCATGCATTTCCAAGAAACCAGCACTTCCCAAGAGATCGAATGGTCGAATATTATAAGGGTGATACTTGGGAAGCTATCAATAATGCCCTTCAAGGTCCTCAAGCAATCTGGCTTATGGGAATAGGAGATGAAAACCAAAGAGTTTCTCAATTTGTTTTAGAAGACGGCCGTACATTTAGGACACGGATAAAGCATACAGATATTATAAAAGCATGTAAGGAATTATTTGAAGACGCGGTAAACTGGCAATTTCATGAAAATATAATTAATGAAGAAAAAAAATCGATTCTTTTAAAGTCTCTCAAAGTAGTTGACTTAGCAGAGCAAGTATTTGGTGCAAACCATGCCGGAAGCCGACTTGCTAACGAAATTAATGAATGGCGTCCAATATCTGGAAAAATAAATGATGATATAAAACAGGCCTGTGTAGAGCATGGGCATGGTGGGCGCTGGAATGCACCCGATTATCGCGTCAATGATGTCGTATGTATCGATATGAAAGAATGTTATCCAGCAAGTATGCGAGGTCAAGGAGATTGCGCGCCATGGTTCAATCGATTTGGGCACCCAACACATCATCTTGTCCGAGTAGCAGTAAATGGAAAGTTACCGAAAGATGATATCACCGGATTTGCGCAGGTAAGATCTTTTAAATTTGCAACAAATATACATTCAGCGATTCCCGTCTGGTACGGAAAACATTTTGCGTGTCGAAGTGGAGAAGGATGTGGGAAAGAAAAAGGATGGGTACCTATTGTAATTCTACGATATATTCTTGAGGTTGGTATTCTAGAAAGTGTAACTATTGGAGAGGCAATAATTTCTCTTACTAAACAGACCAAAGTATAGTCACCAGAAAATCGAGATATTAGTTGCGCAATTACAGTATAGGTAAATTCACGCAAGGTGGTAAGATTGACGAGAAACGTCTCACACATAGACTTGTAATAGATGAAGGTGAACTCGATTTCTTGATTAAAGATTGTACCGATGCTGGAACTTTTGCAGGTAGGGAGAAATGTCCACTCGGATTTATACTTACGTATTATGAGGGCCATCAACCTTCAGTACACGCATTTGCGAGCCTCAATGTTAGCATATGCTCATATCAATTTGTTAGAGATGCTTCGGAGATTCGATCCTAATGAAGTAGTAAGGATTGCTACAGATTCTATATATGTACGAAAAGAGGCTTTATAAAAGATCGAAAATACACCAGCATTCTTCAAGCAAGTTGAGGTAAATTCAGATCCAATTCTATGTTCACACTATCCTTCTTGTGCAATGTGTACCGATCCAGAAGAACTTCTTATTCCAAAATCAGAATATGCAAAACGGATTAAAGAATTTCTAAAAATAAAAAGGCCTCAAGTAAAATACGAATGCAAAAGACATAAACCATTTATTTGTAAATTTTGCTTTGGGGAATGGTTTTATAGACCAGACTCCTATGCTCTTTCATATAAACCGGAAGAACAAGAAATCCGGGAAATTCAACCTGGTCAATGGCGTGACAAGGGCGAAAAAATATATAGATCAGATGAAAATATTATTTATATATTGGCCAAAGGATAATTTACGATCCTATTACAAGATGTCGAAAATCGTATCTTAATGGGGGAGGAGGATCTGGTAAAACAACACGAGCAATTAGAATTTTTAAAGACAGGCACAAAGTGCCCTGCTCCGCAGTAAACATGATTATTTTCACTCATACGAACGCATTGGCTAAAGATTTTCGAGAAAAACGTAATGTAAAAGTTCAAACCTGGCATAGCTTCTTTAGATGGAATGGAGTGGGAGAGTGGACACCTGAACGCATGGGAGAGAAGAAATTTCCACGAGTTGTTATTTGGGATGAGGTATGTACAGTTCCTAAGCATATTCTTGAAATGTTCATTAATTATTTATTAGAACATAAAGGCCAGGTAATTTGTTGCGGTGACGATGCACAACCTCCGCCATTCTTCGGAGAAATGCCACATAATTGGTTAAAAGAGCATGCTGATTATTACGAAGAAGTTCTAACCGATTATCGTGCAAAATGTCCTAAGTTACGTGAATTTAAAAAAGCTATGCGTCGCAAAAATAATCGAATACAATCAAAATTATTTCGAGGAATTCTCCCGACTATAGAAAAATGGGAATGTCTCGAAAAGGAATGGACTCCCTCAGATCGCATATTATCAGCACATCGCCTATCTCGAAGAATTGCATCGCAAAAATGTCTTGAATTCCATCGTATTAAGTTTCCAGATATACCAGTTCCATTAATATATAGGCCGAGAGATGGACGTAAACAAAACTGCCTTATCCAAATTCCCGGTTCATCCGAGAAACAAGAACTAGTAAAAAATGATATAGTATATTTACCGTTGAATACGCTTCCTGAAAATTTTATAAAAGATATATTAACCGAAGAAAAAAATACTTGATTGGGATTTGGGATATGCTATGACTGTGCATACTAGCCAAGGGATGACGCTTGAAGCTCCACAACGAGTTTGGGTTATCGATGAACATTTGGCGTGGGATAATCTAATATATCTCGCAGTTGGTCGTGTAGAATATTTGAGCCAGCTTATTCGGGTTGAAGGTCCCCCATTACCTCCTGAGATTGAGGAAGCAAAAAATAAGAAAGCAATCGAACGTTCATTGAGGCCATTTATTTCTGGAAAACTCGTAGGATATATGGATCAAGATAAGAAAAAAGGTCGCGAATTCGATTTATCTGTTGACTATATCCTTACATTAAAAGATTCGCAAAAAAATAAATGTGAACTATGTCTTAATGAAATGAAATGGGAGTATGAATATATACTGTAGATCCAGATCAATGGACAGTTGATCGAATTGATAATAAATTAGGTCACATTGAAGGAAATGTACGTCTTGTCTGTCTTGAATGCAATCGGAATCATCGAGTCTAGTACACTCAATGTACCGTATAAAAGTATTAACACGATAACATTTCCTAAATTAACAATATACAGTATATATATATATATATTTCTTAATAATAATAAATCTCCAATTCAAAATGTCAAATACGATATACTGTATCTTGATAATTTAAAAACGATAATCCATTCAGGTTAGTCGCATTATGTAATCTGTATGACCTAATTGCATATACGATTTCTCACATATATCACTGATCCTCATCAATCGATAAAAATATTTTTTTTCCGGACCAATACTCGCACAGCACAAATTTTCGTATATAAAGTAGTATACCTACCATGTCTATTTCCACAACCGAACACGATGCATATTTAGTCGAAAACTGGGATACCGAAACCCTTATCCTTCACCTGCAAGAGCAGGGCCTAAAGCTTGACGATGAGGACTTCGCTATTATCCGCCAACGAAAAATCGATGGCCAGGTCTTTCTTGATATGACTGAAGAAAAGTTTATGTCAGCTGGATTGGAAATGGGACCGGCTATGAAACTTGCAAAAGAAGTCAAAAATCTCAAATCCGCACCGAAGCGTTCATTCTCCTCATATCACAGTTTAAAAGAAGTGCTGGCGAAATATGGAATGGAATCCGAAGGCATAGACGCAATTCCTCTATTCAGTCCGCCGATCCCTCACAGTATTCAGGATGACGATGTGTATTTCGAAGAATTTATCACGGAAATTAACAAAAGGCTAAGGGATTATGGTACCTTATACCCAGATAGTTTGGAAGCCATGCGTAATGAGTACGTAGTTGCGATACTCCACACAGCTCTCCATATCGTCAGGGGTGAAACAAAAAAAGAATTTACCATGAGGCCACGACAAGAAATTATCGGGGAAGAAAGTTCCGGGCGTGTCGATTATGCAATTAAGGTATAAGCTATAAATTTTACAGAAA